TGTCTTCAAGTCCATTCTCTATGTCTGTGTCTTTATTACTGTCCTGCCACTAGGTGCATCAGAGCCAATTTTTTTTCAGATTACATATATATATATGTTAGCATACGGTATCTGTTTTTCTCTTTCTGACTTACTTCACTCTGTATGACACACTCTAGGTCCATCCACCTCACTACAAATATTCAATTTCGTTTCTTTTTATGGCTGAGTAATATTCCATTGTATATATGTGCCACATCTTCTTTATCCATTCATCTGTCTGTGGACACTTAGGTTGCTTCCATGTCCTGGCTATTGTAAATAGTGCTGCAATGAACGTTGTGGTACATGACTCTTTTTGAATTATGGTTTTCTCAGGGTATATGCCCACTAGTGGGATTGCTGGGTCATATGATAGTTTTATTTTTAGTTTTTTAAGGAACCTCCATACTGTTCTCCATAGTGGCTGTACCAATTTACATTCCCACCAACAGTGCAAGAGGGTTTGTTTTTCTCCACACCCTCTCCAGCATTTATTTATTGCTTATAGATTTTTTGATGATGGCCATTCTGACCACTGTGAGGTGATACCTCATTTTAGTTTTGATTTGCATTCCTCCAATGATTAGTGACATTGAGCATCTTTTCATGTGTTTTTTGGCAATCTGTATATCTTCTTTGGAGAAATGTCTATTAAGGTCTTCTGCCCATTTTTGGATTGGGTTGTTTGTTCTTTTGTTATTGAGCTGCATGAGCTGCTTTGTATATTTTGGAGAGTAAACCTTGGTCAGTTGCTTCACTTGCAAATATTTTCTCCCATTCTGAGGGCTGTCTTTTCATCTTGTTTTTGGTTTCCTTTGCTGTGCAAAATCTTTTTAGTTTCATTAGGTCCCATTTGTTTATTTTTGTTATTATTTCCATTTCTCTAGGAGGTGGGTCAAAAAGGATCTTGCTGTGATTTATGTCATAGAGGGTTCTGCCTATGTTTTCCTCTAAGAGTTTTATAGTGTCTGGCCTTACATTTAGGTCTTTAAGCCATTTTTTGTGTATGGTATTAGGAAGTGTTTTAATTTCATTCTTTTACATGTAGCTGTCCAGTTTACCCAGCACCATTTACTGAAGAGGCTCTCTTTTCTCCATTGTATACTCTTGCCTCCTTTATCAAAGATAAGGTGGCCATAGGTGCATGGGTTTATCTCTGGGCTTTCTATCCTGTTCCATTGATCTATATGCCAGTACCATACTGTCTTGATTACTGCAGCTTTGTAGTATAGTCTGAAGTCAGGGAGCCTGATTCCTCCAGCTCCGTATTTCTTTCTCAGGATTGTTTTGGCTATTTGGGGACTTTTGTGTTTCCACACAAATTGTAAAACTTTTTGTTCTAGTTCTGTGAGAAATGCCACTGGTTGTTTGATAGGTATTGCATTGAATCTGTAGATTGCTTTGGGTAGTAGAGTCATTTTCACAATGTTGATTCCTCCAATCCAAGAACATGGTATATCTCTCCATCTGTTTGTACCATCTTTAATTTCTTTGATCAGTGTCTTATAGATTTTGGAATACAGGTCTTTTGTCTCCTTTGGTAGGTTTATTCCTAGGTATTTTATTCTTTTTCTTGCAATGGTAAATGGGAGTGTTTCTTTAATTTCTCTTTCAGATATTTCATCATTAGTGTATAGGAATGCAAGAGATTTTAGTGCATTAATTTTATATCCTGCTACTTTACCAAATTCATTGATTACTTCTAGCAGTTTTCTGGTAGCATCTTTAGGATTCTCTATGTATAGCATCATGTCATCTGCAAACAGTGACAGCTTTACTTCTTCTTTTCTGATTTAGATCTCTTTTATTTCTTTTTCTTTTCTGATTCCTGTGGCTAAAACTTCCAAAATTATGTTAAATAATACTGGTGAGAGTGGGCAACCTTGTCTTGTTCCTGATCTTAGAGGAAATGGTTTCAGTTTTTCACCACTGAGAATGATGTTGGCTGTGGGTTTGTCATATATGGTCTTTATTATGTTGAGGTAGGTTCCCTCTATGCCTACATTCTAGAGAGGTTTTATCATAAATGGGTGTTGAATTTTGTCAAAACCTTTTTCTGCATCTATTGAGATTATCAGATGGTTTTTAGCTTTCAATTTGTTAATATGGTGTATCACGTTGAATGATTTGTGTATACTGAAGAATCCTTGCATTCCTGGGATAAACCCCACTTGATCACAGTGTATGATCCTTTTAATGTGTTGTTGGATTCTGTTTGCTAGTATTTTGTTGAGAATTTTTGCATCTTTGTTCATCAGTAATATTGGCCTGTAGCTTTCTTTCTTTGTGACATCCTTGTCTGGTTTTGGTATCAGGGTGATGGTGGCCTCGTAGAATGAGTTTGGGAGTGCTCCTCCCTCTGTTATATTTTGGAGGAGTTTGAGAAGGATAGGTGTTAGCTCTTCTCTAAATGTTTGATAGAATTCACCTGTGAAGCCATCTAGTCCTGGACTTTGGTTTGTTGGAAGATTTTTTTTTTTAATTTTTATTTATTTATTTATTTTATTTTTGCTGTGTTGGGTCTTCGTTTCTGTGAGAGGGCTTTCTCTAGTTGCGGCAAGCTGGGGCCACTATTCATTGTGGTGCATGGGCCTCTCACTGTCGCGGCGTCTCTTGTGGAGCACAGGCTCCAGACACACAGACTCAGTAATTGTGGCTCATGGGCCCCATTGCTCCATGTCATGTGGGATCTTCCAAGACCAGGGCTCGAACCTGTGTTCGAGTGTCCCCTGCACTGGCAGGCAGATTCTCAACCACTGTGCCACCAGGGAAGCCCTGTTGGAAGATTTTTAATCACTGTTTCAATTTCAGAGCTTGTGATATGTCTGTTTATATTTTCTATTTCTTCCTGGTTCACTCTTGGAAGGGTTGTGCTTTTCTAAGAATTTGTTCATTTCTTCCAGGTTGTCCATTTTATTGGCATATGGTTTCTTGTAGTAATCTCTCATGATCCTTTGTATTTCTGCAACATCAGTTGTTACTTCTCCTTTTTCATTTCTAATTCTGTTGATATGAGTCTTTTCCCTTTTCTTCTTGATCAGTCTGGCTAATGGTTTATCAATTTTGTTTATCTTCTCAAAGTACCAGATTGTAGTTTTATTGATCTTTGCTATTGTTTCTTTCATTTCTTTTTCATTTATTTCTGATCTGCTCTTTATGATTTCTTTCCTTCTGCTAACTTTGAGGGTTTTTTGTTCTTCTTTCTCTAATTTCTATAGGTGTAAGTTTAGGTTGTTTATTTGAGATTTTTCTTGTTTCTTGAGGTAGGATAGTATTGCTATAAACTTCCCTCTTAGAATTGCTTTTGCTGCATCCCATAGGTTTTGGGTCATCATGTTTTCATTGTCATTTTTTTCTAGGTATTTTTTGATTTCTTCAGGGATCTCTTGGTTGTTTAGTAATGTATTGTTTAGCCTACATATGTTTGTATTTTTTACAGTTTTATTTTTTGTTTTTCTGTAATTGATATCTAGTCTCCTAGCATTGTGGTCAGAAAAGATACTTGATACAATTTCAATTTTCTTAAATTTACCAAGGCTTGATTTTTGATGCAAGATATGGTCTATCGTGGTGATTTTTCCATGAGCAGTTGAGAAAAAGTGTTTTCTGTTGTTTTTGGATGGAATATCCTATAAATACCAATTAAGTCCTTCTTGTTTAATGTGTCATTTAAAGCTTGTGTTTCCTTATTTATTTTCATTTTGGACGACCTGTCCATTGGTAAAAGTGGGGTATTAAAATCCCCTACTATTACTGTGTTACTGTCAATTTCCCCTTTTATGGCTGTTAGCATTTGTCTTATGTATTGAGGTGCTCCTGTGTTGGGTGCATAAATATTTACAATTGTTATATCTTCTTGGATTGATCCCTTGATCATTATGTAGTGTCCTTCTTTGCCTCTTGTAATAGTCTTTATTTTAAAGTCTATTTTTTCTGATATGAGAATTGCTACTCCAGCTTCCTTTTGATTTCCATTTGCATGGAATATCTTTTTCCATCCCCTCACTTTCAGTCTGTATGTATCCCTAAGTCTGAAGTGGGTCTCTTGTAGACAGCATATATATGGGTCTTGTTTTTGTATCCATTCAGCCAGTTTGTGTCTTTTGGTTGGAGCATTTAATTCATTTACATTTAAGGTAATCATCAATATGTATGTTCATATTACCATTTTCTTAATTGTTTGGGGTTTGTTATTGTAGGTCTTTTCCTTCTCTTGTGTTTCCTGCCTAGAGAAGTTCCTTTAGCATTTGTTGTAAAGCTGCTTTGGTGGTGCTGAATTCTCTTAACTTTTGCTTGTCTATAAAGGTTTAAATTTCTCCGTTGAACCTGAATGAGATCCTTGCCAGGTAGAGTAATCTTGGTTGTAGGTTTTTCCCTGTCATCACTTTAAATATGTCCTGCCACTATCTTTATGGCTTGAAGAGTTTCTGCTGAACAATCAGCTGTTAACCTTATGGGGATTCCCTTGTATATTATTTGTTGCTTTTCTCTTGCTACTTTCAATATTTTTTCTTTGTATTTAATTTTTGATAGTTTGATTAATATGTCTTGGCGTGCTTCTCTTTGGCTTTATCCTGTATGGTAGTCTCTTCCTGGTAGGTGCTTCCTGGACTTGATTGGCTATTTCCTTTCCCGTATTAGGAATGTTTTCAACTATAATCTCTGCAAACACTTTCTCAGACCCTTGCTTTTCCTCTTCTTCTTCTGGGACCCCTGTAATTCGAATGTTGGTGCGTTTAATGTTGTCCCAGAGGTCTCTGAAACTGTCCTCAATTCTTTTCATTCTTTTTTCTTTATTCTGCTCCCTGGAAGTTATTTACACCTTTTTATATTCCAGCTCACTTATCCATTCTTCTGCCTCAGTTATTCTGTTATTGATTCCTTCTAGAGTATTTTTAGTTTCGGTAATTGTGTTGTTAATCACTGTTTGCTCTTTAGTTCTTCTAGATCCTTTTTAAATGTTTCTTGTATTTTCTCCATTCTGTTTCTGAGATTTTGGATCATCTTTGCTATCATTACTGAGAATTCTTTTTCAGGTAGGTTGCCTATTTCATCTTCATTTATTTGGTCTTGTAGATATTTGCCTTGCTCTTTCGTCTGTAACAAATTTTTTTGTCGTTTTCTTCTTTTTTTTTTTTTTTTTTGATTGGTGGTGCTGTATTCCTGTCTTCCTGGTTGTTTGGCCTGAAACGTCCAGCCCTGGAGCTGGCAGGCAGTTGGATAGAGCTGGGTATTGGTGCTGAGATGAGGACCTCTGGGAGGCGTCACTCCGATTGATATTCCCTGGGGTCTGAAGTTCTCTGTTAGTCCAGTGGTTTGGACTCAAACCTCACCACAGGAGCTCAGGCCCAACCTCCAGCCTGGGAACCAAGATCCCACAAGCTTTGTGGAGTGGAAAAAAAAAAAAAGGAAGAAAGAAAAAAAGGAGCAGTACAATATCAAAGAATAAGAAACAAAATAAAATTAGAAAGATAAAAAGTATAGTAGGAAAAATAAGACTATAATTGAAACAACAGGTCACTGGGGGTTCCTCCCATCCCCTTAGGTGTCCATAGTCCCCTACCAGGGTCTGGTAGGTGCCCTAGTTCTGAGGAGACACGAATTCTGTGTCCTCCTAGTATGCCATCTTGACTCCACCCCCCTCCAAATAGTTTTAAAATTGCATTTGTATGGGAATAATGTAGCAAGAGTGTAGCAATCTGAATTATAACAGATAACTATACGTGGTTTACAACCGCAGCAGCTATTTACTGTCTTTAACTTATCTTAACTGTATTCAACACTTGATTTTAAACCCTAAGTTAGAGTGCTTAAAGTTCTCCTAATTTAATAATTCAAAATGTATTTGAATATGAAATAGTAGCATATAAAAACAATATTAAATTTCTGAATTTACTATGATACAGCATAATATATTAAATATTTATATATCTCTGTGCTATAATCAGAAAATTAAAATTAAAAAAATTCTCACTCCTTGCCAGCTGCTGTTTTTGTGCCCTCACAGAACTCTGGGTGTGTATGTATATATACTTATGGATGAGGATATTTATCTATAAATAACATTTCATTTTTAAAAATATTTTTTCTTCCTAATATTATCAGGCTCATTTCTCATTCAGACAGTTGTATGAGTATTTTCCATGCCAAGGTTTTTCATGGTTCAGGTTTATAAGGAAATTGCTCTATATGGTTATAACTTTATTTACAAACAATTTTGCACACAAATGTTTTGTAATGTTTAACAGAAAGGAGGGAGTTAGAGTTTGTCTTTGTCTCATATCCCACACCCAAGTCATCAGAAAGTCTGACAGGCTTTTTTCAAAATGGATTCAGAATCTGACCTTGGCTCACCACCTACCTCTCCTGTTGCCACCCTGGCCCATGTCATCCAAACCTTTGGCCTGGATTATTACAATAGCCTACTAACTAGTCCCCCTTTTTCTGCCCTGATCCCCTTTTATTCTTAATTTCCAATACAGAAGTCAGAGTGAGCATTTTAAAACAGGAGTGAGAACATGCTTCTCTGCTCAAAATCCTTTAACACCTTCTCATATCACTCACAATAAAAGCTAAGGTCCTTATGATGCTCAACTCAGTGCATGTGTAACCATCCTCCCAGTGCTTCACCAGCCTCCACTCAAAGGCTCTGGCTCTCGTTCATGTGCTCAAGCACAACAACCTCTCAGATCTATTTGAAACATGAATGCTGAGGTATCTCCCATCTCAGGGTCTCTACACTTACTGTTTTAGCTGCCTAGAATCCTCTTCCCACAATTATTGGCAAAGCTCACTCTCACCTCCTTAGAGTCTTTGTTCAAACATCACTACAGTGAAGCATTACCAGCCTACTTTAAGATTACACAATCTCTCCCTCATATAATATTCTCATTTTCATGCTTTATTTATATTTTTCTCCATAGCCCATATCATACATGTATATATATATATCTACATACTATGTATATATACGTACTATACATAGCTATAGTATGTATATATAATTATATATACAGTGTTTTTAAATTTGTGTCTGTTTATTGACAACCTCTTCCTACTAGAATGTAAGTTTTATACAGTCAAGAATTTTCGAATATTTTGTTGTCATATTCTGTTACCTAGAATAGAATCTGGCATATATTAGACAGTCCACAGATATTTGTTGAATAAATAAATAAGAAAAACAATCCAAAAGTATATCATAGGGTTAGCAAAGACCCTATGGGGACTTGGGAAAAATAGATTTAATTTTGTTCTGTTTCTTTCCCTTATCTGAAAAACTCTGCAGTAGATAATATAGAAAGATTAAAATGCCCCCATACAAGACATAATATAGAATTTTTAACACAAATTCCCCAAACAGCTTTCTAGGATATCATTCAGAGATTGCTAGGAACAATTTTTTTCAACATTTGAAATCATCACAGGAGAGAGTAAATATTATTCTTAAGTAGAAAGATGAAAATTAAGTTAATGTGACAAAGGGTTGAATTTATGAAGGTGTAATTTTAACTCATATCTGAAAGTTTGAATTTACTTAAAAGGCTGTTATGTATTTTTACTTGTAAAACTTGGTACCAGTCAGAAGTTATCAACAATCTATACCAATGTTTTTCAAATTGTTCTTTAATGCACACAACCTCACTTCCCGTTGAAAGGACTCGCCTTGGGGGAAAAACGGCTCTGGGCATCAATCTAGATGTTTCAGTCAGGTGCTTCAACAAGGGTAGCCAATGTCATCTGCTCTACAAGCTGGTTTCTGGGTGAGATTTTTCCAAAAAATAATCAAAAAAAATGTGAACAATATTGACTAATATTTTTAGTTTAAGAAGAACTATGAATTTAGGGGAATAGTATTCCAAAGTTGTTTTCTATAATATTTTTTCTCCTACTCTGAAACCAAAGATAGCCTATGCACTTAGCCCATATACTAATTAAGGGCAAGCCATGTCTTAGGAGCCACTTTCAAAATAGGAGACAATTTTTAGTACAGAATGTAAGATTTTAATATATGAATTTGACCTTGCATTTCCAAAATCATTAAGAGCAAATGTGATGTTTTTCTTTACAATATCCTAGCAGCATCATGTAGGCTGCATTTGTAACTGACAGCTAATATAAGGATGTCAATTAATGAAAGCATTTTAATTTCTCACATGTTTATGTTTCTTTTTAGAAAAACTTAGTTCATCCTACCTCCTGTGTTTCTCCTTTACTCTCACAACATTTCTGACACCAGATGTGCGGGGATTTTTTCCCCCCAAAGGAAGCAATTCTCCATGATACCAGCTGGATGTCTTACAGTTTAACTCAATTCTGACACTACCTGGAGATAGTGTCAAATCCCACAGGTTAAGGGCTCAGCCCCACAAGACTAGCCCCCATTTCAGATGTCAATTGCAAGTAGCAGGTCCCCTGCTTACTCACAACTCTGTATAAATTGGCTATAAATTTGAGGTTCCCATGACTGCCTGCTCCTTGAATTTAATTACTTGGTAGAGCAGCTAACAGAAATTACTTACATTTACCACTGATTAAAGGAAATAATAAAAGATACAGATGGACAGCCAGATGAAAAGACAGATACAAATGGCGAGGTCTGGGAGTGTCCTGAACACAGGAGTTTCTGTTAGCATGGAGTTGGGGTATATCACCTTCGCTGTACGTGGATGAGATCACTGACCTAAAAGCTCCCTAAACCCCACAGTATTGAGATTTTACGAAAGATCACATAGGAAAATCAAGTTACTCCATTTCCAGCCCCTCTCCTCTATGTGGAGAATGGGGGTGGGGTGTGGGGACAGCCTGAAAATCCCAAGCTTCTAATCATGGCTTAGTCTTTCTGGTGACCAGCCCCCATCCAGGAGCCAGCCCAGAGCTGCCTCATAAAAACAAAAGACGAGGGAAATTGGTTCAAGATGACAGAGTAGAAGGACGTGAGCTCACTATCTCTTGCGAGAGCAAGCACTGGAATCACAACTAACTGCTGAACAATCAACAGAAAGACACTGGAACTCACCAAAACTATACCCCACATCCAAAGACAAAGGAGAAGCCGCAATGAGACAGTAGGAGTGGTGCAATCACAATAAAATAAAATCCCGTAACCACTGGGTGGGTGACTCACAAACTGGAGAACAATTATACTACAGAAAGCCACCCACTGGAGTGAAGAACCTAAGCCCCACGTCAGGCTTCCCGACCTGGACATCTGGCAATGGGAGAAGGAATTCCCAGAGATTCAGACTTTGAAGGTTAGTGGGATTTGATTGCAGGCTTCAAGAGGAATGGGAAAAACAGAGACTCCACTCTTGGAGGCACACACAAAGTAGTGTGTGATCAGGACCCAGGTGGAAGGAGCAGAGACCCCATAGGTGACTGAACCAGCCCTACCGGCTAGTGTTGGAGGGTCTGCAGAGGCAGGGGGTGGCTGTGGCTCACTACAGGGACAAGGACACTGGCAGCAGAAGTTCTGGGAAGTACTCCTTGGCATAAGCCTTCCTGGAGTGCACCATTAGCCCCACCAAAGAGCCTGCAGTCTCCAGTGCTGGGTCGCCTCAGGCCAAACAACCAACAGGGAGGGAACCCAGCCCCACCCATTATCAGACAAGCGCATTAAAGTTTTACTGAGCTCTGCCAACCAGAGCAACAACAAGCTCTACCCACCAGCAGTCCCTCCCATCAGGAGGCTTGTACAAGTCTCTTAGATAGACGCATCCACCAGAGGGCAGACAGCAGAAGCACAAAGAATTACAATCCTGCAGCCTGTGGAACAAAACCACATTCACAGAAAGATAGACAAATTGAAAAGGCAGAGGACTTCGTACCAGATGAAGGAACAAGATAAAACCCCAGAAAAACAACTAAATGAAGTGGAGATAGACAACCTTCCAGAAAAAGAATTCAGAATAATGATAGGGAAGATGATCCAGGACCTTGGAAAAAGAATGGAGACAAAGACTGAGAAAATGCAAGAAATGTTTAACAAAGAACTAGAAGAATTAAAGAACATACACCCAGAAGAATTAAAGAACAAACAAACAGAGATGAACAATACAATAACTGAAATGAAAAATACACTAGAAGGAATCAATAGCAGAATAACTGATGCAGAGGAACAGATAAGTGACCTGGAAGACAGAATGGTGGAATTCACTGCCAAGGAATGGAATAAAGATAAAAGAATGAAAAGAAATGAAGACAACTTAAGAGATCTCTGGGACAACATTAAATGCACCAACATTCACATTACAGGGGTCCCAGAAGGACAAGAGAGAGAGAAAGGATGCCAGGGAATATTTGAAGAGATTATAGTTGAAAACATCCCTAACACAGGAAAGGAAATAACCATCCAGGTCCAGGAAACGCAGACAGTCCCAGGCAGGATAAACCCAAGGAGAAACATGACGAGACACATAGTAATTAAACTGACAAAAATAAAAAAGAAAAATTATTAAAAGCAACAAGGGAAAAATGACAAATAACATACAAGGGAACTCGCATAAGGTTAAGAGCTGATTTCTCAACAGAAACTGTACAAGCCAGAAGGAAGTGTCAGGATATATTTAAAGTGTTGAAAGGGAAGAATCTACAACCAAGATTACTCTACCTGGAAATGATCTCATTCAGATACGACAGAAAAATCAAAAGTTTTACAGACAAGCAAAAGCTAAGAGAATTCAGCACCACCAAACCAGCTCTACAACAAATGCTAAAGGAACTTCTCTAAGTGGGAAACCCAAGAGAAGAAAGGGACCTACAAAAACAAACACAAAACAATTAAGAAAATGGTAACAGGAACATGCATATAGATAACTACCTTAAATGTGAATGGATTAAATGCTCCAACCAAAAGACACAGGCTCACTTAATGGATACAGAAACAAGACCCATACATATGCTGTCTACAAGAGACCCACTTCAGACCTAGGGACACATACAGACTGAAAGTGAGGGGATGGAAAAAGATATTCCATGCAAATGAAAATCAAAAGAATGCCGGAGTAACAATACTCATATCAGATAAAATAGACTTTAAAATAAAAAATGTTACAATAGACAAGGAAGGACACTGCATAATGATCAAGGGATCAATCTAAGAAGATATAACAATTATAAACATATATGCACGAAACATAGGATCATCTCATTACATAAGGAAAATGTTAACAGCTATAAAAGAGGAAAATTACAGTAACACGATAATAGTGGGGGACTATAACACCTCATTTACACCAATGGACAGATCATCAAGACAGAAAATTAATAAGGAAACACAAGCTTTAAATGACACAATAGACCAGACAGATTTAATTGATATTTATAGGATATTCCATCCGATAACAGCAGATTACACTTTCTTCTCAAGTGCACATGGTTCATTCTCCAGGATAAATGATATCTTGGGTCACAAATCAAGCCTCCATAAATTTAAGAAAGTTGAAATCATAACAATCACCTTTTCAGACCACAACGCTATGAGATTAGAAATAAATTACAGGGAAAAAAATGTAAAAAGCACAAACACATGGACGATAAACAATATGTTACTACATAACCAATGGATCAATTAAGAAATCAGAGGAAATCAAAAAATACCTAGAGGGCTTCCCTGGTGGTGCAGTGGTTGAGAGTCCACCTGCCGATGCAGGGGACATGGGTTCGTGCCCTGATCCGGGAAGATCCCACATGCTGTGAAGCAGCTGGGCCTGTGAGCCATGGCCACTGAGCCTGCACGACCGGAGCCTGTGCTCCGCAACGGGAGATGCCACAACAGTGAGAGGCCCACATACCACCAAAAAAAAAAAAAAAGTACCTAAAGACAAATGACAATGAAAACACAATGATCCAAACCTATGGGATGCAGCAAAAAGTTCTAAGAGGGAAGTTTACAGCAATACAAGCCTACCTCAAGAAACAAGAAACATCTCAAATAAACAATCTAACTTTACACCTAAAGCAACTAGAGAAAGATAAACAAACAAAACTTAAAGTTACCAGAAGGAAAGAAATCATAAAGATCAGAGCAGAAATAAATGAAATAGAAACAAAGAAAATAATAGCAAAGATCAACAAAACTAATAGCTGATTCTTTGAGAAGATAAACAAAATTGATAAACCTTTAGCCAGACTCATCAAGAAAAAGAGGGAGAGTACTCAAATCAATAAAATTAGAAATGAAAAATGAGAAGTTACAGCGGACACTGCAGCAATACAAAGTATCATGAGAGACTACTATAAGCACCTCTATGTCAATAAAATGGACAACCTGGAAGAAATGGATAAATTCTTAGAAAGGTGTATAAGCTTCCAAGACTGAATGAGGAAGAAACAGAATATACGAACAGACCAATCACAAGTAATGAAATTGAAACTGTGATTAAAAATCTTCCAACAAACAAAACTCCAGGACCAGGTGGCTTCACAGGTGAATTCTATCAAACATTTAGAGAAAAGTTAAAACCCATCCTTCTCAAACTCTTCCAAAAATTTCAGAGGAAGGAACACTCTCAAACTCATTCTACAAGGCCACTATCACCCTGATACCAAAACCAGACAAAGATACTACAAAAAAACAAAATTACAGACCAATATCACTGATGAATATAGACGCAAAAATCCTCAACAAAATACTAGCAAACAGAATCCAGAAGCATACACCATGATCAAGTGGGGTTTATCTCAGGAATGCAAGGATTCTTCAATATAAGCAAATCAATCAATGTGATACATCATATTAACAAACTGAAAGATAAAAACCATATGATAATCTCAATGATGCAGAAAAAGTTTTAGACAAAATTCAACACCCATTTATGACAAAACTCTCCAGAAAGTAGGCACAGAAGGAACTTACCTCAATGTAATAAAGGCCATATATGACAAACCCACAGCCAACATCATTCTCAATGGTGAAAAACTGAAACCATTTCCTCTAAAATCTGGAACAAGACAAGGATGCCCACTCTCACCACTATTATTCAACACAGTTTTGGAAGTTTTAGCCACAGCAATTAGAGGAGAAAAAGAAATAAAAGGAATCCAAATTAGAAAAGAAGAAGTAAAACTGTCACTGTTTGCAGATGACATGATACTATATATAGAGAATCCTAAAGGTACCACCAGAAAACTACTAGAGCTAATCAATGTATTTGGTAAAGTAGCAGGATACAAAATTAATGCACAGAAATCTCCTGCATTCCTACATACTAACAGCAAAAGATCAGAAAGAGAAATTAAGGAAACAATCCCATCCACCACTGCAACAAAAAGAGTAAAATATCTAGGGATAAACCTACCTAAGGAGATAAAAGACCTGTACTCAGAAAACTATAAGACACTGATGAAAGAAATCAAAGATGACACAATCATATGGAGAGATATACCATGTTCTTGGATTGGAAGAATCAATATTGTGAAAATGACTATACTACCCAAAGCAATCTACAGATTTAATGCAATCCCTTCATTTTTTACAGAACTAGAACAAAAAATTTGTTTGGAGACACAGAAGACCCCAAATGGCCAAAGCAATCTTGAGGGAAAAAAATGGAGCTGGCGGAATCAGACTCCCTGACTTCAGACTATACTACAAAGCTACAGTAATCAAGACAGTATGGTACTGGCACAAAAACAGATATATAGATCAATGGAATAGGATAGAAAGCCCAGAGGTAAACCGACGCCCCTATGGTCAACTAATCTATGACAAAGGAAGCAAGGATATACAATAGAGAAAAGACAGTCTCTTCAGTAAGTGGTGCTGGGAAAACTGGACAGCTGCATGTAAAAGAATGAAATTAGAACACTCCCTAACACCATACACAAAAAAAAAAACTCAAAATGGATTAAAGACCTAAATGTACCAGATACTATAAAACTCTTAGAGGAAAACATAGGAAGAACACACTTTGACATAAATCACGGTAAGATCTTTTTTGACCCACTTCCCAGAGTAATGGAAATAAAAACAAAAATAAACAAACGGGACCTAATGAAACTTAAAATATTTTGCACAGCCAAGGAAACTATAAAGAAGATGAAAAGACAGCCCTCAGAATGGGAGAAAATATTTTCAAACGAATAAATGGACAAAGAATTAATCTCCAAAATATATAAAGAGCTCATGTAGCTCAATGTTAAAACAACAAACAACCCAATCAAAAAATGGGCAGAAGACCTAAATAGACATTTCTCCAAAGAAGACATGCAGATCTCCAAGAGGCACATGAAAAGCTGCTCAACATCACTAATTATTAGAGAAATGCAAATCAAAACTACAATGAGGTATCACCTCACACCAGTTAGAATGGGCATCATCAGAAAATCTACAAACAACAAATGCTGGAGAAGGTGTGGAGAAAAGGGAACACTCTTGCACTGTTGGTGGGAATGTAAATTGATACAGCCACTATGGAGAACAGTATGGAGGTTCCTTAAAAAACTAAAAATAGAATTACTATATGACCCAGCATTCTCACTACTGGGCATATACCCAGAGGAAACCATAATTCAAAAAGACACATGCACCCCAATGTTCACTGCAGCATTATTTACAATAGCCAGGACATGGAAGCAACCTAGATGTCCATCAACAGACAAATGGATAAAGGAGATGTGGTACATATATACAATGGAATATTACTCAGCCATAAAAATGAATGAAACTGCGTCATTTGTAGAGACGTGGATGGAGCTAGAGTCTGTCATACAGAGTGAAGTAAGTCAGAAGGAGAAAAACAAATATTGTATATTAATGCATATATGTGGAATCTAGAAAATTAGTACAGATTAACTGGTTTGCAAGGCCGAAATAGGGACACAGATGTAGAGAACAAATGTATGAAAACTAAGGGGGAAAGCAGGGTGGAGGGTGGTGTTGGTGGGATGAATTGGGAGATTGAGATTGACATATATACACTAATATGTATAAAATAGATAACTAATAAGAACCTGCTATAATAATAAAATAAAATACAAAAACAAATAAACAAACAAACAAAACACAAAAGACACCCCTATCACTCAGGAAATTACAAGGATTTCAGGAACCCTGTTAGGAACCATGGTCAAAGACCAAATACTAGAACAAAAGATGCTCCTAGTGCTAAGGAAACTACAAGCGTTTCAGAATCTCTGTGGCAGGAACCTGGGGTAGATACCAGTATTTTTTCCTATTATTTCAGTTTCCAACAAACTATCACATTTCAAGCCACTTTACAAACAAATTCTATGGCTGCCATTGCATGATCAATTGTGTTTTTACACAAAGATTTTGATTAGTATGTTTTAATTTATATTCTATAACTTGGTCTACATTCATGTGTGATTAAGCTGTCATAAGACTAAAGAAATTCAAATAAAACAGGATCATGACACAAACACATTATGCATTATAATTTATTGACTGAATTAGGAAAAAAATGAGATCTAAAACAGATTTTTTAATTGTATCCAGAAGTAGACTTTTTAAGCATATATTTATTGAATACATAAACTGATGCATTTGTTAATGTATTTGTTAATATATTTAAGACAAGACAGTCAAAGAAAACATTCAGTTCGAATTAGAGAAGGAAAACTTTCTTTTAGCAAACAGAAACCAGTAACTTTTCCAAGTAGGATAGTACTTGTACGTGCACCAATGTAGTCTTAAACTGAAAACTAGTTTCTTAAATGCTAAAAGTCAGTTGAGGATATTAGTTGAATTCTTTGAATTGTCTGAGGACAATAGGAAATTATGGACACAGAGTTAGATGCTTTTAAGCAAACTGACCAACATAAGATAAATTCTGACTTCTCAGATTCTCATGCTGAAATTTCTCAGTCCATTTCTCAGCTGAAATCTTGTAGCACAAATCTGATTATACCAGTCTTCAGAGGCTCAAAAGGAGTACAAAGGATAGCACTGCTCCTGTTACCTCCCTAGGCTCACAAAGTGGCAAGGAAAAGATTCTACAGGAGAATAGGGAGCCAGGGCTGACTTGAATGGCCTCCTGACTGTTGGAGAGGCAGGGTCTGTATTAGAGGGCATTTTATTATTGTATATTGTTGGTGCTCTAGTGAATTTTGTCTCACCCAGCATTAGAACTGGGTGCAGTCTTTGGGAAATGGATCCGTGTGGAAACTTGATGAAATTCTGGGTGTTTTCCTGAGGACCTAAGTATATATGCAAATCCATTCACAAAATTTTAGGTTATTTAAAGACTTTAGGATACACAGTCACAGACCACAAATCATGTTGTCACAACACCCCCATGTTACCAAAATGGACAACAGATTCCATTCATTCCTTATAGTAACATATATTTTATACCTACATATTCTCCCATACAGTATTATTCCAAGAGACTGAGGACAGAGAAAA